CAACAATTCCATAGGAAAGTATTGGTGGGCAGAGGAGTCTAAATTTCAAATTTTTCAGTTTTCAATACAAAATTCAAAGTTCAAAATTGCATTCACTTAAAATGAAATTTAAACACTGCCGTTGAAAAATACGAGTATTTTCATTGAAAACTGAACAAAAAAAACATTCGTTTCATGTTTATATGAGCTACAGCGAACAAATAACCTACAATCAATATTCACCATAATTTGTGGTTTTATTTTCATTATTTTATCGTCTGTTTTCATCATATTATTAGAAAGTTTGTTATTCATTTCGTGTGATTTGGTGGCTATTCCAATTTAAAAAAATAGTTGTTTTGAATGTGGGAGTTAGTTGAAAATCCGACAATGATAATTACTCAGCAGGTTCTTTTTCTGCTTAAACTTCATCCATATGGTTTTCTGACTACGAAAAGCGTACTTGCCATGCAGTGATTGTTGTGCTCACACTACATAATATGTATTTATATCTTATACATTAGATTTAAATGTTTAATATTCGCCGTATGTCTACAGTAATAAAAAATGACCACCATATGACATGTTTCACGTGTTTAGATAATAAACGTGCGCTAATTAATTACATGGATGAACTAATTCACTTTACGAATCCTGAGAGAGAATTTTACCAAATCACTATGATGAGTTTCTATAATTAGTTTTTTTATTTACAACAACATGATGGTCTTTATCACTAAACCAAAACTATAAATCTTGGAACGTGACACAAAAAGGTGGTTGGCAAATTAATTCACAAATTATTTTAATGATGTCGCCCATTTATTCTGCTTGTATTTAACAGTAAAACTCACTTCAAACGAAAATTGATTAATTTTATCATTGGTTCATTGATTCCAAAGAATTAAAACTTTACAATTTATGTGCTTAAACGGTATACTTATCTTGATTGTTATGAAGTTATCAAAAAATAATAACAAAAATTGAAGCGATATCTTGCGAATGTTATCTTCAATCGCAATAACATTTCGCGTCCGTACCCTTCTGAAAATAAATCTACTCCAAAGTCTACGTATATATAGATACTTGTAATGGAATTTTTATTTAACGACTAAGAAACAATGACAACCAGTCGAGTATATTTTGACTATGACTGCTGTTAAAAAAAGTCACCACCCAGTCGTGTGGCCATTCGTAAAAAGATTCTCACGAGGGTATCTACAACGGAATGTTCGCATGAGAACATAGTCTATATGTTTGCGCGTGTCTGCGTCGGACGTTTTAGTCATACTTTAGCTGTTCAACTGATAGGATGTGTTGCCTCTAATCTATTCCACCATAACAGTATTAAACATGTATAAAATGAAGCATCTAAGTCGTCTTTATTTTGCGTTCGCATCGATAATTATTTTTTCCCAACAAATTCAGTGTGATGTGACCAAGTGTTGTCCAACGAATTCGGTTCTAAAAATAATCGATAAATCTTGTACCGAAAACGAGACAAATTGGGATACATACAATATTGTAGCATCACAGATGCCAATATGTGATCATGAAATTGTCACAGTACCGAAAACTGTAACATTCATTGAATTGAATGGGTGCATCGATAAAAATGAAAATGATGAATTTGTAACCATGTCATGTGTCGATAATCCAAAAATCGGTGTGCATTTAATGAACAAGTGCTGTTCAATCGGGTATTCGTATGATCACATCCAACGTTCTTGCATCGAAAATCTCAATTCGCATGCACATTTTAAAAATATGTTCAAAAGCGAAGTAGTTGTGTTTGAAAGTGCCATTCCAAAATGTTTGAACAACGAAGTGTATGTTGAGTACCATTCCAAAGTTGATGACATTCAATTCATTGGAGATGTGATACAAGTGAACGAAAAGGTTTTACCACTAAATAAATTCTGTATCGAAGATTTAGTGAATATTGGTGGATCAATGGCAAATGAACAACGCGTAATCGTTCGAAGTTGTCAACCAGCGTCCGTGTGCACCGATATTCCTTGCATGCGACGATGCTGTAGTGCCGATGAAATTATGGAAAGAAATCCAAGACGATGCGTGCCACATCCAGACAATATAAATCTAAAACCAATTTTCTATGACCTCGACTTGCCGATAAATGAAAAAACTCAAACGCAAATCCAAATTAAAGGTAATATGATTGTTGGGTCTTTCTTTGAATTTCAATCATTGAACAAGTCAAATTATTATTATTATTACTACGGTATTGATAAGATATTGGTCACTTTTTTCGCTGATATTCATATATATATAAAAGTTATTTGACTTAAACAACAGCATTTGCGAATGGGTCATCGCAGTCATACAAACACATCAATAATATATATTTACAGATAACGCAATTGGCTTGTTATAAACCATATGTATTGAGTACTCATATTTTTCATTTGATATATTGTGTAATTTTAGCAAGAGTTAGTCTCGGGTAAACGGAATTGTTTGCTTTTTTCCAAGCGTGTGTGAGTCTTGTCTTCAATCTGATGTATGTTTGTCGAAATTATTTGTTCATGAAAAATAAATCTTTAACGAAATAAAAAAAAGATTGTTTGACTTCTCTTCGTAGCCACACCGAGGTATGGCGAGTAAGATGAATGATTTAGGTTTGTTTATCAGTTGTACAGTAAACAATAAACGCGATTCATATGGATCTATTCATTCCGCAAATACTCGAGTTTGTACAGTAAAAAAATACGCAGAGGAGCCTACACTGACATACGAAATGGAGATACAACGCATTAATTTATGCAACCAAAAAAAAACCTTAGGAGTTGGTAATATGTTACCGAAATGAAATAGTAGGATAAACCATTAAATTTTATGACTTACACCCGGAATAGTTACTTATTCTGAATGAAAGTTTCAAACCGTAAACTTAGCGTTCTTATGGTCTTGCGCTAATAGTTTTCGACACAATTTCTGTGAATTTTTTTTGAGTCAATCAATTTTGATGATTTTGAAATCATAGCCGCACTGTGATCATTCCGATAATTCGATCACTCAAAATGGAAGAGAAAAAAGTCTAAATTCGAATTTTTTTTTTAAGTAGCTATATTTTGGAGAAAGTTTTCGAAAAGTGGTATCCTCATAAAACTTAGGTTTTCACAACAGTTTTTTAAATAGTAGTTTTTATAGCGTTGCTCGGATTTTCAAGGTAAAACCCGGATAAGAAATATTCCGGCCCAAATGATTACGGATTTTGCCCGGAGTTTTTAAGAATAGTTCAATCAATTTGAGTTTTTTCTTATCAAAAGTGTAAATTTTTCAGTAAAAGTAAAGTTGTTTTGTCAAAAATGCACCTTTTGAAAAACTATATGTTTTGTGGAAAATCGGGTTTTGAGGCCAATATTTTGGTTTAAAAAAATTTCGCTCTGATTTTCAGTTGATATTTTTGAGTCAAATTGCCCGGATTTAGAGCAAATTCTTCGGGAAAATGAAAAATTCTTTTCTTGTAGTCCTTATTTTGTTGATTATAATATAACGCATATTTATTAGAAAAACAGATATCTCAGTGAACTTGAACACGCATGTCAAGAAAACAATAAAATCTTTACGGTCTCCTGAACAGTATAGCTTGTACAGTAAAGATAAAAATAAACATTTTTCGCAACAAATCTTAATTTTATGTATTTTCTTCTCATAAATTCCTAAATTATTATAAAGTGAGTCAAATGCGTTCTCACTTTCCTTAGCATTTCACTGCGGTGTGATATTCGAAGCCGTTATTACTTATAACATTCTGTTTTATTCACTTTTAATATTTTGAAGAAATGAAAGTGACTGTTGCTATTAAAATATATGTTTTTTTTACAGAATATGGCATTTTGCATTCGTTTAATTGTGAAAAAATGTATGTATTGAATCCAAATGATGAAGAAGACCTCCACTATTTGCATAAAGATGGTAGACTTTACTTAGTCGACAAGGAACCATACGATCAAAACCAATATTGTATAGAGAATGTTGTGACTCCAAACGGAACGGTTGGGGTCAGTGAGCAATTTTTAAATCATTACTAAGAAATGTTTTGTTGAGCGGTTTCTGATTATTTACAGGCATACGCATTCCTTTGCGCTGTTAATGACACCTTTGAGCAACCGACGAAATTTACATATTATCCATACGGTCTAATGACCTCCTGCGTATTTTTGGCTCTAACATTGATTGTATATTTGTTACTGCCAAAGGTTTGTTAATATTTCTTTAATAAACACAATTCCATCGCGTAAAATTTTATATTTCAATTCCAGCTGTTAAATCTGCATGGTAAAACGCTTGTGTGTTACGTCACAACGATGCTGGCCTCATACATTACGCTAGCTATATTACAAATCAATACAGGCCCCCGACCAGAATTTTGCGAAGAAATGGGTGAGTGTGAAAATTTAATATGTCAGAGAGAATCCAAGGATACACCAAGTAATATTATTAATTTTTTTCTTTTAGCATATTTCTTACTTTTTACCTTAATTTCGACATTTTGCTGGCAAACTGTCATGTGCTTTGATATCTGGCTTACATTTGGGTAAATATAGTTTATCATATTTTTGACGTCTATAGACTTGATAAGATGACACATTTCCGAACTATCTTGTTACCTTAAGTAGTTTGCTATTCTGAGAAACTAATGTGTATACACGAAAAAAAATTGCTCTCAATCAATATCCATTACATTAATTTTTGGTAGCCAATTTCATAATTAGATCATAAAATACGACGACCCGCTGTGAGTAATTATATTTGACCACATCCCTCGAGAAACGATGAAAATGAATTTATGGCTTTGATACTAGTTAAAAATGTCAAGCCAAGTTCGTGCATTACAATGTTGATATTTCTTTATATTCCGTCTGCTTCCGTCAAAATAAATTAATAATTGTAATGCGGATCCGCACTTTGACATTTGGGGTGTATTTTCAGGCTACACATTAAATTGGCATAATTAATTAATCATAAAACTTATTTGTCTAGCTAAAATATATATATTTTTATATTAAAATATATATATATTATATTTTTCAAAAAATGTCTATAGATCTTTGCGTTCATCGTTCGCAATGCGACACAATCGACAACATGGGCGACGATTTTTGTACTATTCGGCATATGCATGGCTAGTGCCTTTAGCCTGGGTTGGATTCACGTCCTATGCAAAAAAATACAAACCATTTTCAGCGACATGGAACCCAAATATCGACCATGCTTGCTTCTTTGCTGGTGCGTTAGCCGCCATTATGTATATTGAACGTCATTAAAATGCAATTAATTTGCTCATTTTCAGACTACATCAATTGGAGACCTCACTTTCTGTTCTTCATAATACCGGCTGGCGTTCATGTCATCACCAACTGTATTCTATTCATCATCACAGCCATTCACTGTTCTCGCGTCAAAAGCGACATTCACCGAATGCAACACATGTCGGATGAAACGAATACATCAACGAAACGGAAAAAATTTCTCATGTCAAGGGCAATGTTCGTGTAAACTATTATGCATTCGCTTTCATTGGCCACACCCACATTTTATTTGTTTGTTATCTAATGTGGTCTTGATGATTTTTTTTTTTTTGATTATAGATTTATGATGAATTTGAAATTGTTCACCGTGATGGGAATATCATGGATACTGGAAATTATTTCAACATTTTACAAAAATCCAACGGTTGAATACATTTTCGATACGTACAACATATTCCTTGGGGTTTTCATTTTCTTTATATTTGTCTTCAAGCGGAAAGTACTATATGAGCTTAAAATTCGATTTGGTAAGAATGATTTCATTGTTTACACACCGACTGAATCATTTCAGTGACCGATTCGCGTGTAGTTCTGAATGTCAGTATAGTTATACAAAGTATAGCCACAAACATAAGAGACGCATATTCTCAATTTATATGTTCGTGTGTGCACTGAGAGACGCACGATTAAGTGTGTATAGGATATAGCACGAAGTGAACAGTGACGGGTGTGTTGCATCTGCGTCTATAGTTTGTATAATTATCTTGTATGGAATTATACGCAAACCGATCGATCCCTGAATCTTTTCAGAAGAAAATTGACTTGATTTTGCATAATTATTGCCTTTTCGAAGCCAATTCAGTTCGATCTGCATGGACAACACATAATTGGCAACACATATGACATTTTTACAGATTCTATCAAGAATTTGTTTTCAAGTGCCATATAATCACATTGCGCCATGTGCTGTTATCGCATCGAATTTCATTTTAAAAATAACGCCGAAAAAACTCTACTCTCTGATAAGCATAAAGTATAATTTTTCAATTTGAAAAAATAAAATGCAAAAGAGATAACGATGTAAATAATGCGATAATTGTTTAAATTAATATAATTATTTGTTTTTAATCAACACAAAGGTTTTAATTCGAAGAGCACCACCACCGGGACGGGATCGATTACACCAAAATCGACAACTGTCACAAATACGGCAAACATTAGTATGCGCGACATAAGAAGTGCGTCAGAGAAAAGCCTACCCTTGCTTACAGCATCGTCTACAATGTTGCAAGTGCCTAGCATTAGAAAATAGTCCATATCTTACATACTCATTCAAATGTCATTTTATAAACTTTTTCATATTTTATCATTGGATACTTTATTCGAGTATTGCTATTATTTAAATGTCTACATAATAAAAGATATATTGGTAAACATAACGACAAAGCATAATTCAAATGGTGTAAGTATATATCAGTTTTAAATTGAAACACGCTTTGTAATGTATAATCTAGATCTCCGATAATAATGTTAGAATATGAATAAAATATCAGCCATTATTTTTGCTAACATTGGTGATTTTTTTTTTTTTTTTTTTTTTTTGAGAAACTTGTTGTGTGATGAGTTCTGATTAAGAGATGCAGGTAATGTTCATCACTCGCTCCTTAATTGATGCCCCTCGTTGCTCCGAACAGGACTGTGGATTGCTCGGGACCTATTGAGTTAATTATTCATACATAGTCTCAAAAATGATATCAAAATATTTTCACTAAAGAATTGGTTTTTGGCAGAATTGTTACAAGGATAGAAACGGAGTTACAACAAAAGTGAACATAATCTTTTTTTTTACAATTAAGTGAATAGCAACACGGATTTTTCCACGTCACATTCAGTAGAACTTCATGGATTTATTCGGAAATTCAACTTCATAGACAGTTTCATCTTCTTCGGCGGCAGCCTCATCCCTCTGATGACCATGGCTGTACACACCGACAATGCATTCATCACTTTCGAGTTCAATATTATCGGGATCGAAACAAAAGTTTCTTTGTAAATTGATCACTTTGCTATTGCCACTTTGTGAAGCAATCAAAATCAGTTTTTTTGCTGATATGAGTTCGTGCAACTCAACAGCAAGCCGATGATTGTTATGGATGTACCAATTATCGGAATTAATATAAATATCACTATCGGATGTTTTCAATTGAGTGCCCAAATAGCTCGTGTGGATTACTTGCACAAATTCCGCGTCGCCACTCTTAATGTAGCTTTTGTCCGGCTCTACTTCAAAAATTGAAATTGCTGCTGGATCTAAACCTATTCAAATATAATTTTTCATTGAAAATCCCAAAATGCGTAAGAAATTTCGATTACCTATCAATTTTTTTACTTTTTCACCGGTTGTTTGAAACAAATACCGACACGCATATGCACCAATATGGCTTCCTAATGAGTAACCCACCACAATCACCTGCGACATATGCTTTAGACATCCATTTTTTTGTGTTTCCAAACACTTCTTCCGAACATTCATCAACAAATCACTTGTTTCCTTTGCAATAAATTCAACTCGATTCGTTTCCAATATTCGTTTGATGTAAAAAATTAAATTGTAAATGGAATATTCATAATCGTTGAAGGCATACGCAATGTAGCATATATTCGTATCGGAGTGAATAAACCATTCTTAAAAGAGAAAACATAATTATGTCTTGGTTTATTTGAAATTCATTGTAATGCTGTACCGAAGGAGTTGATAAATCTTCTATCTGAAAAAAAGTACAAATTTGCTCATTATTTGTGTATAAAATACCATTGTCTAACCTTTTTTAGAAATAGTCTCGCCTGTGCATAAGAAAAACAACGAAAGATCTCTGCCATTATTAAGCTTTTCACTTAATTCCAATATTCCGATTTTATCGTCACTTCTCACCACATCAAATTCGGTCATGCTACATAACAATTCCGTGTTGGTCAGTATATTTCGGCATTTTTTTTTTTGAAAAAATCTACCTAGTATTGTGGATACACCCAAAATAAACTGGATCTGGTTTAAATTCCAATTCCTTAATTCTTTCTAAATTTACGTCCAACCGAACCATACCACCTATTCAAGAAATAAAAAAAAATGAGTGTACATTGAACAATTGATGATTGGACTTCATTATTACGTTTCGTTTTGGCTGCTTTTGGTTTTAGTTTATTTTCCTTTACTTTTTCTGATGTTTCTAATCGTATGACACCAACTGCACAACAGCAGCTTATCAATAGAATAAACATAAGAATTCCACAATTCATATTCACTTCAATAAATTCGGTGATCGTTGAATTGTTCAAAATGGATCAATGGTATGAAAAACACTGAAGCTAAGCACCTTTCATCATTCGATATATATTATGAATTCCAAAAATTTGATGTGGAAACAAAACAAAAAAATTATGAAATTATTCGACTATAAAACAATGTCCTAAATAAAACAAATACAGTAGAACCTCGTAAATTGATTAAAAAGAGCTTCTAATACAGACATATTTCAAATCGCATCATATAAACTGAAAGGTGCTGGGGATAGAGTCATAGCGTGCTGACTTTACTGTGCGTTTAAGATGCAGGTGACGCAAGTGGATCATGATCTTTCCAATTTGAGGTAACACGTATTTTTTAGAAAGTTTTATTTTTTTTCAATTCAACGTATTCTCTAATAAAATACCAAAACCATCTTCGCTTTTTTCGTGTAAATTTCTTGCGTCAGCCAGTGGTTAATAATTTAAAAGGTTTATTAATTATTATTATTATTTCAATAAAACAACAGACTGAATTAAATGAAACGCCAAAAATTGTTCAAATTATTATTTATTTTTTGAGTTAAATTAAAAATTCAATTGACAAACGTCATTGAAAGTCATAAGCTTAATGTAATATTGTTCAAATTTTTGTGTTATTCACCGCTCAATGTGACTTAAAAATCCATTCCCCGCCACATATTTGCTTACATCATAATCGCATTTTCAGGAATTTTGGTTCGGCTTTTAGTTTACCCATTTTTAAAACTACATACAATTTTTTATTCGTCGAATAATTTCGGTCGGATATTTCATTTTTGACTCACCGTTAGCCAAAAAAGTTGCACATCAGTGAGTAAGCTTTAAGCTTTTTGAGAAAAATAAATTCATTTACATTACAGATAAACAACATTTATTTATAAACAGATAAAGAATTAATTTCTGAGATTTTATTTTCAACTACTGCTTGTTAATGGTTGTGACATTTGTATTTGAAAATTGTATTTATTGTGGTTCGACATTCAAATGCATCCAGACCAAAGGGCAAGCGCAATTTGGACAGATACTTATAACGAATAATCTTCAATTATTATAACAGTACATTTGAAATATGAGTCACCATAAGAATGAATGAATCTCTCTCTCTCTCTCTCTCTCTCTCTCTCTCTCTCTCTTATAATGATAAGAATATGAATGCACAATCTCGATGATTAAACAATACCATTTTGTACTGCTCTTTTTTCATTCCTTATCAATTTATACGCTGAAAATTGAATAATCCAAAAGTACGTGTAGTAGACTGAAAATATTACAATGAAAAAATGTGCGAATTAGTTAACCGTCTAACAGTAATGTCCGAATCGGACCCTCAATAAAATTTCTAACATTGGTAACTGCCGATAATATATATAAAGCTTTAGCATCAGCCAAATACCAATACCGACAGTTTAAGAATATATTAGAAACTAAAATAGCATTTGTGAAAAGTGTCACCGATTAGGCGTATTTTTTATTATTTCCAATGTTTTCAATCATTTTCAATATTTTCCGTTGAATTTCTCATAGAAAAACCGTAAAAATGAACTGTGATTTATTCGAATTTCGTAAACTAAAAACTCTCACTTGTTGTTTTAGAGTTTTAGTCAAAAAAATTCAATTGAAAATAAGAATAAATTTCCATTACCTGCAAGTACGACAAGAACTAAACAGCAAAGAAATATGAACGATAAAATGAATTCAAGCATGTTAAACAAGTTACGATGTTGCGTCCTTTGAGAAGTCTTCATGTTATCAAAAACATTGGAGATGAAAAAATAAATTATGGGAAGAGCGATGTAAATAGTAGTCAAAACTAGGGAAGGTATTATGAAGCCTGGCTTTTCCTGTTAAAAAAAAAAACAATACATACAGATATATTGAATACATTATTGATTGAATTCCCTTACCTTCACAACGCCATATATAACCATCACGAAAAGAGGAATGGGCAAAACTATAAACGAGTAGAATGTTTCGACAATTTCATTCAAATAGAATATGATACACAAACTTACGAAATGGCAATGCCCAAACAGTTTCGAATACAACCAAAAGAGCAAATAAAATTAAATGCATTAAAATTGTTAGAGCTGCATAAAAAATGGTGCCACTTTTCAGATCAAAACAGCAGCAACAATTTTTCACTACAAGAAATCCCATTTTTTGTCGTTTAGATCGTTTGAAAACAACTTATGATAGCGAAACGGAGTCTTTATTTGAAAAAACGGAAAAAAATATCTCAATATAATGTTCGTAAGCATGAAAATTTAGAACAGGATATAAAATTCACTTTACGAGGTACGCACGTTTTGATGTAATACTGACCAAAATATTCATTTACGACCAATATCTTACAAAATGGTGAGTATTATCAACGATAAGATGATTTTTTCATAAAAATCCATTATCGACAAATGCTTATCAAAATTAAGTTACCTGTTATCACAGAATTGGTATTATACGACGCTTATACATTTTTATCTTTTTATATTAAGTTTAAAACATGAAATTCTAAGAAACATGAGTGGAATATCAATTTTCATATTTTTTATCACCAACATTTCGGCGAAAATTTCGAATTTTATCTCTCAGTGCTATTATTTACTCATTGGAGTAATCACAATTAATAAATGAGTGAATACTAATAACTGTTTAGTAAATTGTTCGACATAATTCCACACTACTTCATTCAATAAGCATAATTTAATTCATCATTGTTCAGCGCGTCCGCATGTTCTTCAAAAGTGTTCTCGTCCACACAGCTTCGCGAACGTTTGCAATTAAATATTTGATTGCCCCAGAATGAAAGCGAGACTTCTATTCACAGCTTATTGAAATGTAACATCACCATACAAAATATGCTGACAGTCAGCACTTTTTGTATGGCGGTGTTACATTTCAATAAGTTGTGAATAAAAGTCTCGCTTTCATTCTCAGACATTCATTTGTGTATAGGAAATAACTTTGATTACTTTGCCTTCTTTTTTTAATTTACGAAGATTACGTGAAAATACGTTAATTGTCCACTCGATGACTTCATAGTACATATATAAAAGTGAGTAACATTCATAACAATTAAGAAAAACAACTCAATTTCGTTGATTTCCATGTTGTACCATCCCAAAAAAGTTATGAACGTCCAATGACAAACTAGTGAAAACTGATCACACAGATCTATCAATACAATACCGTGAGTATTTCTTAACAGAAAGTAATTTTTCTTATAACCAAATGTGTTAAAAGACAGTAAGACAGTTGAGGTCAATTGATCTTCAAATTGAAAACTATGGTATTTAACATTTATTTTTTAAAGAATAAAATTGTATTGTCATCCCTGTGATCTTCTTCATAACCATTGTTTTGAAAACCTGGCATTTTCAACAAATCAAAAACTCAAACTCTTCACTAATCTATTCATCAATGATATTTTAAAAACATTTTTTTCTTGATTTTCATCATCTCTCACTGTTTCTTCTTTGTTATCGCCATCATTGTAAACACCAAGCAAACATTCATCAGATTTCAGATCGAAGTCTATAGACTTGCCTTCTTGGATATCGATTACTCTACCGTTTCCTTTTTTCGATGCGATCAAAATGGCCCTTTTCCCCGACGCAAGATTATTTGCTTTTACAGCTAACTTATGATTCTTATATGGATGCCATTTATCGCTTTTGATAAATATATCAGCATCGCCTAATTTAAGCGTTGTACCCATCAAGGAACTATGGATAATTTGCACGTACTGAGCATCGCCCTTTCTAAGATAGTTTTCGGGTGGAAATAGATGTGAAATACCGGCAGGATCTAGACCTGTGTAAGAAAAATAATCTTTTATAAAAAAAGTTCAACTATCGAATTGAAAAATATGCACATACCAATTACTTTCTTGACTTTTTCGCCAGTTTTTTCGCTTAGGTATCGACATGTGTATCCAGCAATATGAGCACCGAGTGAGTATCCGACCATGACTATCTGTGACATATTCTTCAGGCATCCATCCATTTGGGTATCTATACATTTTTGTTGAATATTCGAAATGAAGTCAAATGCTTCTTTGGCTACATATTCGACACGGTTCGTTTTAACTATTTTTTTCAAGTAAAAATATAAGTTGTATAGTGTGGCTCTTTGGTCACCGAACGCATACGCAATGTAACATACATTTGTACCAGACTTCATAAACCATTCTAAAAGTGTTATTATAATAGCAATTACCAAATTAAAACAAAAAAAACCTTGAAATAAAATATTGTTTAACCTTTAGCACTTGTGAATCTCTCGTCTAAAAAAAAATCAATATAATTTCTTATAGAAAAGGCCAAAACAAGTATTACTTTAACTGTTGACTAACCGTTTGCAGATATAGTGTTACCGGTTCCGAGGAAAAAAAGTGATAAGTCTTTTCCACGGCTTAGTTTTTCACTCAACTCCAACATCTCAGCCTTATCGTTACTTTTCACCACATCAAATCCAGTCATGCTTAGAAATAAAGTTTTTTTTAATATTATAATTTAGCAAAAAAAAAATATTTGAATACCTTTCATCATAAATACAAGCAAACAAAGCCGGTTCAACGTATTTAATCGATTTGATCGATTTTTTATTGTTTGATTTCACTTGTTTCACGATTGCATCTTATCAGAAAGAAAATAGTAATATTAAAATGTGCGCTAATAATTTGTTTAAAAATATTTACTCAGCGGACTCATTGCATTGCTAAGGCTGCTAGTTAGTAAAACAAAAGCAACAATCGAATAAATTCCCCAATTCATTTTCTCTTCAGCTCAGATAAATCCTGGTAATAATAATGAAATTCTCTTCAATACCACAATCGTGAACGATTTATGTGGATTCAAGTGATGGAATAAACTGAAACTAAGAGTTTTTCTCAACAAAATATATAGTGAATTTCAAATGCCACGATTTCTAATTTTCCTTCACTTATTATTCAAAACATCTTGCATGAGAAATATAAATACATAATAAACACGTTTATTGTGTTCAATATATACATATAAAGGCATCTGGAACGCTTTTTAAACGTGTTGGAGCTGCTTTGTTGTTATGCAAACATTTAATTATATTCGTTTTATTAAAAGTTCGAATATTCAAAATATTCGGGCTGCTTAAAATTCATACGTGAGAGATCGTACGATTATAATGGATTCCACTTTTTCAACGAGGATTGTTATTGTATAAAATTCATTGCGTCATATATTCATACACACTAGTACATGACAATATTTTAAAAATAAATTCTAGTTTTTCTTGTTTTTTGTGTTTAACTCAGTAAGGTGCGCAAATTTCTCAGGGGCAGGGCGCGTCGCCAGGGGCAAGAGACATGAAATACGGGGACAATTTTGAAAAAACGAGGACAATTTTAGGGTGTTTTCGTTTTTTTTTTTTTGAGATCACTTTTTTCGGTGAAAATCTCTAGCAAATCGAAAGAATTTCTCCTCATTGGTGAGCTAAAAAAGGTCTTCAGTTTTTCGATGAAAATTCCTAGCAAATCTGAATTTTCTTCTTCCAAAAACGAGGACATTATGGCTAGGGGGAGCAAGTGCCCACCCCTGTTCCCTGCTGGCGACAAAAAATTCTCTAGTAAATCGGAAGAATTTTCGTTTTTTTTTTTGGAATTCACTTTTTGCAGCGAAAATCCCTAGCAAATCGAGAGAATTTTTCGCTTGAAAAACCCTTGCAAATTGACAAAATTTCTCCCGAATTTCAAAAACCCTAGCAAATCAGAAAAAATCTCTGAAATGATACAAAATGACCAAGCCCAACTCCAAGTTTGTTTTAAATATGAATAAATAAGAAAAGTATCTACATTAAAGATTTTTTAAAGATTTGATTTATTAGTAGAACTTCATTGATTTATTTGGCAATGAGAGCATATACACTTGTCCGGGCTCATTTCCATTCTTGTGACTGTCTTGATTATATACACCAACCACACATTCGTGATCGGCAATCTGTAAAAGTTCTGGATTAACATGTAAGCTTTCTTGTAAATTGATAACTCTGCCCTTTCCATTTTTCGAACCGATTAAAATCAGTTTCTTTGCGGATATAAGTGCGTTCATATCGACTGCCAATCGATGATTATTATGACTGTTCCAATTATCTGTTTTTATGTAAATGTCGCTATCACCTGCAGTATACAAATGAAACTGACTTTACTGATACGCACTTTGACAACAAAATGGTGAAAATTCTATGCTTTCATGACATACCTTTGGCCATTTGAGTGCCTAGATAAGATGTATGAACGACCTGAACATAATCAGCGTCGCCGCTTTGAATGTAATTTACGGTGCTTACCCAATGTGAAATGGCCGCAGCGTCCAGACCTGTTACAATCATTTTCTCTTTAACATCCCATTTAAAGATTCGCAATTCAATTGGAGCTTACCTATCAATTTTTTAACCTTCTCGCCAGTTGCATCGATTAGGTATCGACAAGTATATGCTCCGATATGTGCTCCGAGCGAGTAGCCCAACACAGTCACCTGTGACATGTGTTGAACACATCCGGGAATTTTAGTCTCCAAACATTTTTTTCGAACATTCATCACCAATTCAAGAGCTTCCTGTGCTACATACTCAACTCGATTGGTTTCCATAATTCTTTTCACGTAAAAATACAAATTGTAAATTGAAGCGTGATACTTGTCGAAGGCGTATGCAATATAACATATGTTTGTACCAGATTTGATATACCATTCTTGAAAGAAAAAAATCAAACTTCTATTACGAAATTTATTGTTGCTCATTTTGAATACTACCTTTAGAATCCTTAAATCTATGATCTGAAAATAAATAAAAAATCACGTATATATAACTTAGTATGGTTAGATGTGCGAATTTAAATCATCATTGCCTTACCGTCTCTGCATATAGTGTTGCCAGTGCCTAAGAAGAACAGTGATAAATTCCTTCCGTTGTTCAGCTTTTCACTTAATAGCAACATTTCTGCTTTATTGTCACTTTTCACCACATCAAATCCAGTCATGCTTTGAAATAAAGTTTTTTTTTTAATATAATAATTTTTGTTAGCGAAAAAGCTCGTCATGCTACAAAGAATGTGACATCATTTCTCATGGGAAAATCAGTAATTTTCATAGTATTCACCTTTGATTGTATAGGCACGCAAAAACAGTTGGGTCAACATCGTGTTTTAATTTAATTCCCTTTAACTCTGATTGAACTTGCTCCACGATATCATCTAATTAAAAAAAAGAGAAAAATAATATAGAGAAATGGCACCAAGCATTATTGAGATTGTTTGTTACCTAATTTTGACTTTTCGTTGCAGGAGCAACATAGTATCAAAGAAATAATGACTGAGCAAATCTCCCAAATCATTTTTAATTCGATCGTTTACTGAAAGACTTTAATCAATAAATGAAAGATTGAAGTGATGACATCAACTAAAGCTTGATCGGTTTTAACCGCCAAATAAATAACATTGCATTTTTCAAAGATTATAATGAAATACATAAAAATTTATAATATCAATAAAATGGACAAAATGTATGATTATAATAATGCAAGGTGACTACCGTTTCGGAATTTGCAATGATGATTAATATATTCAAATATGATCATTTTCACATATGTGCCATTTACATATTTCGTTGGAAACTGATAAAACCAACATTTATTCAACAGATAAAAAAAGTTTATAATTTATTTGAAATTCAAATTTTTTAGACGGGGAAAACACACACACGTTGAAGTTCTGAAACTTCTTGAACTGACTCAAAGAATCTCATGTCATGATCTCACTTTGGAAATTTCTGTGTGAGGAGGTGATATTCGATTCCATTAGTATTTCTATATTCTGAGGCGGTTACCACGTCATTCAACTCTCTGGGACCATCTACAATTTAAAACCATTAAAGAAACGATAGCTATAAAAATGATACTATGACTAATACCATTTATAAAAAAAAAAAAACAAATTTTTTCATGATCTGCGTTTTTATTATCAAATAATAATTCGATTCAAACACCAGAACATTTTCGATATTTAGGTTTTATTACATTTAATATTCGAATAAACCGAACGATGTCATCTCGATGTTCTATTTAAATGACAATTTCAACTCGAACATTCTTGGATGAGGATGTGCGTCGTTTGTTTTTTTGCTAAAACCATCGTTGTAAACGCCAACTACGCATTCGTCTTCAGCTAGCTTGACGCGCTTAGACTTAAGTTCTGGATTTTCTCTTAAATTGATCATTCTGCCACCATCTTTTTCAGATGCAATTAAAATTGCTTTCTTAGCCGAAATGAGCTCATGTAAATCCAAAGCTAATAGATGATTTTTCGGTGAATGCCATCTATCGCAATACACGTAAACGTCGTGATCACCTTGTTGCATTCTTGTACCTGAAATAAGGCCGTAATGAAATTTTTACTATGAATCATATTTGCTCACTGTACCCATGTATGATGTGTGAATAACTTGAACATAGCTAGCGTCGCCTCTGTGAATATAGTTACTTGTACCAATCCAATATGATACTGCTCCAGGGTCAAGGCCTGTTTTTTATGTATTTAAGTAAATTTCAAAGAGTTGAGAGTGAGAGAAATCGGTATTTACCTATTAATTTCGGAATTTTCTCATTCGTTTCGCTGTATAGATATCGACAAGCGTAGGCGGCGATGTGAGCTCCGAGACTAAAACCAAGCATGGTGACCTGCGACATATCCTTAAGACAACCTCTTTTTTTACTTTCTACGCACTGTTTTCGAACATTCAAAATTAAATCACGTGCTTCTCTTGCGACAAATTCAACGCGCCGCGTTGTCAATGTTTTTTTTAAGTATGAATATGTATTTAGAACCGAAATGTCATAGTTTTGGTAGGTATATGCAATGAAGCATATATTTGTACCCGATTCAATGAACCATTCTTGAAATGAAAATTGAAAATAAATTAAATTGATCTCTTTTTTTCGGTTACTTCTCACATACCCCTGGTAACTTTGAATCGATTATCTGAAAGAACAAGTTCAATTGATTATTCAGTCACAGAAATTTAATTTCATTTATCAAACCACGTTCATGTATGTCGTCACCAATTCCGAGGAAAAAGAGAGAAATACCCCTTCCATTATTTAATTTATCCACTAAATATGTCAAATGTGCTTTGTCGTCACTTTTCACTAATTCGAAGTCATTCATGCTAAAGAAAAGTTTATTTTTACATTTTACGATATTTTTCCACGAAAAACGGAATGTTTTTGATTGAAGAAAATACCTGTCGTTGTACACGCATGCGAATTTCATGGGGTCACCTTCATAATTCAATAGATTTACATCGATTGAAGTTTGAACATACTTTAAATCCAAGCCTTCCCAAGCATCACCTGAGTCACCGAAGAAAAAAATTAATTTAATTTATTTACATTTTTCGCCTCATCAATTTTGATTGATGATTACCAATTCTACGATACGCAGATTTTCCTAATCTTACTAAACTCTCTTGGGATGGAAGTTGTTCTAAAATACATTCAATAAAATAACCAAAACATCTTGTAAAGAAATGAAAATATTTTGATGGTGATAGTTCTTATTTTTTGTTTTTGTTTTTTGGAAAAGAATCTTTAACTTCTTTGGAATAAGATGTTTTTAGATATTTTTTTGGACAATTTTTTTTTGTGAAATCTATTACCAAGTATCTTCATTGGACTCATTGCACTGCAACTGCATAACAAGAAACCTAAACACATTAAATGAATTCGCCAATTCATTTTGATTCACTTTATCTAGTGTGATTGAAGCAAGAAGATAAACTGAAGTTTTAACTCTTAACGCCATTGAAGATATTGTAATGTCTTGTTCCAATTAATGATCTTATTTCTAAGTATTCCGATGGGAAAAAATTCAAACGGAATTTTAATATTAAATGAAATTATATTGACGCATTCTGCGTCAATTAATATGCAAGCCGCTGTTTCTTTGCTTGTTTTAGTAGAAATGTTGGAAAAACTCCGATACACTTTGGCGTACATTTCTGCGAACTCATTTAGCTGGTAATTTATTAAAAAAATTAATTCATTCTCATCAATTTTACTGGCAGTTCAAAAGGCCAGAAATTTCTTCTTTTTTTCAAAAAAAAAAAAAAAAAAGTGCAAACATCTTTCAAAGGAGCGAGTACGACGTTTCCCCCTTTGCTAAGCGAAATAAATCCGATATACGGCGCTGATTTAAATGTCACTCTATGTCATTCCACAATGATACATTTTTTGGCTTGACAATATATAAGCTCTTCATTCAACATGCATAATTTTTGAACGGTCGAGTAAAAAAAAGAAACATATCATAAAATATTCTTTTTACGTTTATCATAAAAATTCTCTATATTTTAAATATATTTGTTTAAAAATAACAATAATTTCAATTTTTTTCATAGATTGAACAAGAATCTAATGTAAAAAGTAATACCAATGCGACACCTACCGTTAAAATAGAAAAGGAAACTTATTTGGAATTGTAACATTTTGGTCCGCCATAACAGCATCTTCGTTTTGCTTCTCTGTGATTGGTCAAGTAAAACGAAGATGCTGTCATGGTGGACAAAAATGCTACAATGGAGACCAACTAAATTTCTTTTTGCATTTTTACGGTAGGTGTCACATTGTCATTACTATTTACATTGGATTCTTATTTAATCGATGAAACATTTTTTGTTGAAATTATTGTAATTTATAAACAAATTAATTTTTTTATAAAAAAAAAATTTAATAAATTTTTTAATGAAAAATGTTAGAAAAATATTTTATGACATGTTTTTTTTTCAACGATTCAATAATTATGAATGTGTATGCATTTTAAATGAAGAGCTTATATATTGTCAAGCCAAAAAAGTATTATTGTGAAATGACAGAGTGACATTTACATCAGCGCCGTATATCGAATTAATTTCGCTTGGCATAGGGGGAAATATTTTGACAGATAGTACTCGATCCTTTATTTTTGAATTAGATCTTTTCAGATAAATTTTGAACGGTTATATTAAATTTCGTACCAAGTATTTTCTTTGGATTCATCGTACTGCAACTACATAACCAAAAACCGAGAATAATTAAGTGAATTCGCCAATTCATTTTGATTAGCTTTATGCGTTCATATGATTGAAGCCAGAAAATAAACTGAAGTTTCAATGATATATACTGTAGTATCAATAAATTGTAAACGTTTGTTCTAATTAACCCATTAACTTCCCCCAGACCGACGAATTTTTCGACTTGAGGTAATAAGTTGTGAAAAAAACTTTTCGGTAGAGGTAATAGTAAGAAATATTAGATCTAGCATTTTATGCCTATTTGGTTTTAAATGAAGAGTTCTTAACATGGAGCGACACATTCGAAAAAAATATTTAGCAGTTTTATATCAGAAGTTAATGGGTTAAAGATCCAATTGTAGTAATTTGAGTACTTCGATGTGTAGAGAAAAATTCGAACGGAATTTCAATAAAAAATTATATTGACGCATACTGAGTCAAATAGTTGTTTTCTTATACTGTTTATAAAAAGTAGAAACGTTGGCAAAATTTTTAACATTTCCGTTGCTTGTTATATTTAATTTTTGTTCGTTCCTTGAAAGTGAATTTTGAATATTTTTTAATGAACTGATCTTATTACTTATCACATTTTCGCTTAAAATAAGTCATAATAACATAGAATGCGGAAAAAGTAATAATAATATGAAATAATTATATAATCAATTTTTTGACAGTGACACAGACATATTTTACTACACATTTTGAAACCTTTTTCGATATTTCGAAGATTTTAATCTCCCAACGGCTTGGAATTAACGAGATTTGACTGTATAGTATATAATATGAAATAAGCAAATATAATAGCATTCACACAAGAGAAAAACCCAAAAAATTATTTTAGGATTCCTATTAAAAAAATGAATTTGTAAGGTTTCCTTATAAAATCGCAATGTTTTAAAAGCTCGGCAACGCTTTATTAGAGTTTAGAACCGCTGGAAACTGCAGAACTATATAGAATTATATAAAGTCATTTGGTGGCGCTGGCAAACAATGTTAGCTTATTTCCATGCTGTGCTAATAGTAGTAGTAAACTCTAATAGTCAATAATGATGGTTTTTCATGTCATTAAAATTCATTTTATGCAAAAAAAAAACAATTAAATTTTTATTATTACAATTTTAAATGTTTTCCTGGTGTAAGCAATTATACAAAATAGAGTGTTAGATACAATGAAAAAAGATGAAGTAAGTTTATAATGATAATATCCATATTACTCCATGCTCTTCCATAAAACATCTGAACGTTTGGCCAAATCTAGTTCAAAAATGTTTCCGCTCATAGCTGGCTTGAATTCGCTGTATACACCAACCATACATTGCGTCTCCTTTAGTTCTAGTACTTTGTAGTCTTTAATATCGTTAACTTCAATTAATAAACCTTGTGGAAGAGTTTTTGAATTATTCGCTGGTTTTTTGGCTGATTTTTTTGCCTTTGCATCCTTTTCCAAATCTTTCTTACTCATTTCGGCAATTATTATGAGCTTTTTTCTACAAGTCGCCGCATGAATGGCTGTAGCCAATGAATGTTTATCACGCAGATTGAAAATTGATAAACGGTTATCTTTCACTACTATAGAAACGTCGCCAGTTCTCTCTGAAGTGCCAAGTACTTTCGATGTATGAATTAACTGCACAAAACTTGCATCACCTTTCGAAATGTAATACTTCTTGTTGAGAAATAGGGTTGCAGCGGACGGGTCTAAACCTGGAACAAAACATGTTTTTAAGCGTATCTATCGATAATTTGAACAATCTATCCAATATGTGTACCAATTAATTTTTTTACTTTTTCACCGGTTTTGGCAGTCAGATATCGACAGGCGCGACTTGCAATATGCGCCCCAAAGGAAAAACCAACCATTACGATCTGTGATATGCTTTTGATGCTACCTTTTAAATCTCGAACACTTAATACTAGATCGCGCACTTCTTTTGCTACAAACTCAAGTCGATTCGTTTGCACCATTTTTTTCATATGCGGAATTAATTTTATGAGTGTCGTCGCCGAATTTTCAAACGCATATGTAACGTAGCAAATATTTGTAGTAGATGCATCAAACCATGCTGTTGCGAGAAAGGCATAGAAATAGAAGAAAATAATTACGATTGAAAAAAATGTCCAGATATTCTCATCAGAGACATTGTTGATTTTGAATTAAAATAATTACCTTGAGCATCATCGTAGTCATATCCTGAAATTAAAATTGAAATTTTGTGTGTTAATCTACTAGCATGATGACAAAATATGGCAGAATTTTAAACTCATTTCTAACCATTTTCGTCCACTTCAACCCCAATAGCATGAATAAAGATCGATAGATCGTGTCCATTATTTAGTTTTTTTACCAACTCAGTCATTCCAGATTTATCATTACTTTTGACTATTCGGAATTCTCCCTGTCTACAAATGAGAAGCATTAGTACATATGCAAATTCACAAACCTTTCAAAATAATATGAAAATAGTATAAATTTGTGATTTCGACAGAAAATATGTTTTTTTGCCATTATGTCATGGATTTTGTGTAAGTGATATGATGAAAAATGCTGGTATTTACTTTTTTTCATGCACACAAGCGAAAACGAGTGGATCTCCTTTATATGCTAAATTATCTGGATCTAATTCGGGAGATTCTTTTCCTTCGATGCCACTACTGATGAACAAGGCAACAAACAACCAATAATGAATGACAAACATTTTATACTTTTAAAACCATCAATCAGTATTTATTGAAAATACGATCTATCATCGATCGAAGTTGTAATACTACACGAAGGGTATTCACGGTTTGGGAAACCTTGCTTCAACTGTAATATTCTTTCTAAATAAGTCCACTTTATATTGACTTCTGTTCGAAGAAACTAGAAATTGCAATAAAAATGTCATGGAAATCATGAATATTCATTTGATCGATCTGTAAATGAAAATGATTGACGAATGAATTTTATTGACTAAAGCTGCTGACTGAGGGCCGATAACTATACTCGGCAACAACACTTTCTACTTATACACAGTCAAACTGACTGCATTTACTCTAAAGAACCTTGTACACTGAGTGAGACGTCAAAATTTCTCCATGTTAAAATGGCATTTTGCTCTGATTACTTTGAATTTTAACATCTGAGTTTTCTGTGAGTATATAACTCAAATGTGGATTTCAATGCTCACTTTTTATACAAACTTCTTTTATGATTTGGAACCCAATTAACAAAAGCTGTTAATTAAATTGCAATACATTTTAAATGAAAAAGTGGTGCCATGAAATGCGCGAAGTTTGAATAGCATTCACTTGCCATTTTCACTGTATTATTTTATTTCCGGAATATAAATAAAAAAGTTACAATGAAAAATAAGAAAAATAGTTAAACTGTTGATTGACTACATCTTCAAGCTGTCCAAAATATCCCATTCTTTTTTAAGATCTATTTCGTAAGTTTTTCCGGCCATCACCGGTTTGAATTGGCTGTACACGCCAACTAGACATTGATTATCTTTTAGTTCAGGCTCTTCATAATCACTTGGTTCTTTTAATTTAGTTATTAATTCTTCTGGATTCTTTGCAAAAGCTGCTGCTGCTTTTTTTGCGTTTCGATTCCGTTCCAAATCTTTTTTACACATATTCGCACGTATTATGAGTTTCTTTCTAGCAGTTGCTGATTGAATGCTTGTTGCCAATGCATGCTTATCACGTGGATTAAAAACTGATGTACGGCCATTTTTCACCACAATATCAACATCACCAGCTCTATCTAAGGTACCGAGCACTTTCGATGTATGAATTAACTGCACATATTTAGCGTCACCTTCGGATGACAAACACGTCTTTATGGTTTATGTAAAAAATAGAGTTTATTAAATTAGTGCGATCAAGGTACCTTTTGAAATGTAATAATTTTTATGGAGATATAGTGATGCAGAGGCGGGGTCCAAACCTGAAATAAAATTAATACATTGCTGACATTGATAGATTCAGTTCTTTAAATTTCAATTTAAAATTCAATGTCTGTACCTATTAATATTTTAACTTTTTCCTTAGTTTTAGCGGTGAGATATCGACAGGCGATTGCAGCGATATGCGCCCCAAAAGAGAAACCAACCATCACGATCTGTGACATGCTTTTGATGTTACCTTTTAAATTTCGAACACTTAAGACTAGATCGCGCGCCTGTTTCGCTACAAATATAAATCGATTCGTTTGCACCATGTTCTTCGTATGTGGAATTAATTTCGCTAGAGTTGTCACTGAATTTTCAAACGCATATGTAATATAGCAAACATTTGTATCAGATGCTTCATACCATCCTGTCACGCGAATGAAATAAAAATCGAATAAAAAATTTATAACACACAATTGGACCAAGGATTTTTGAGTAGAAAGAATTACCTCGAGCGTCATAGTAGTCAAAGCCTGAAATTCAAGCAAGAATATTGCTAGTCAAAGAAAAAATAATACCAAATGATTTGGAACTGACTTAATACCTTTTTCATCAACATCGTACCCAATCGCATGAATAAGGATTGATAGATCGTTTCCATTGTTAAGCTTTTGAGCTAATTCGGTCAATCCAGTCTTATTATTGCTTCGAATTATTTCAAATTCCGTTTGACTGTAAATTGAATAAAGTTGAATTGACAAAATGAATAAAGATCACTTAAGTTATTAGAAAAGTTTGTTCTATACAGTTACACACTCTTCTTATAACATCTTCAAAATAATTTATGTTAATTACCAGAGAGAAATTGATTAAATTCTATAAATGACATCTGTATTTTTCTCACATGACAAAATCTCATTCTGAGAAAATAAATGAATCATACTATCAAGTGGCATAGATGATGACGAGGGTTCCTAGAATTCGGTTTACTCCCCTCTAAAATATTTTTAGGAACCCTCAACAATTTTGGAAATGAGGACCTTATTTTGCTCTTCACTTTTTTCAAATGTGAAAAATTCTTCCGTTTTGATAGGTTTTTCGCCAAAAAAAAAATGAAGAGCAAAAAAAAAACGAAAAAAACTACATCCAAAAAGGATTTGGATAGAAAGGAGATGGATCGTGATCCCCTATGGATTTTACCAGGGACCCCCTACGCAATTTTGCCATCATCCTGTTTTTGCAGCAACGCCTCCTCAAACTATTCTGTTATAAACACACAAGTCTCATTTTGTCATGTGAGAAAAAATACAGATGTCAAAATGCCAATTTAGTCTGGTTGCTTTGAATTTTGCCATGTCTATTTTCTCTTGGTGAATTTCGAACTTATCAATTGAATGAATATGTTAAAAATATGAATGTAAAATACTTTGACGAATGTACACAGGCGAATGTAATGGGTTCTCCAATATATCTCATTTTATCTGGATCGATCTCCTTGGGTTCTTTCCCACAAGAAGTACTGCCGATCAAGAAGGCAACGAACAAAAAATTGAAAATTGAAAACATTTTTTTAAAATCTTGATGGTTTTTGAACAGATGATCTAGAACAGATCGCAGTTGTAATAATCTACGGAAAGTGCTTCACGCTTCTCGATACCTTATTTCAACTGGAATTCTCTTAAAGATATTGTCATATATATTGCTGAACAGATGGCTGAATTACAATAATAATAAATTTTGGTGAATATTAATGAATTGAATAAATAAAAATTCATTTTTTTTGAATGCATTATAGTCATTTTCAGCGAATAAATATGCTTAACAGTAACACAATTCATCCAAATACACACAGTTATGACGCAAAAGGTCTATACGACAAAAACAATTGTAATTGAGTGTATGATACTTTGAATCAGATACTGTTTCTCAGAGCGATACATGTGATGCGGAGCACTCAGAGGAGTCGAAGGAGCAAAGCAAGTTAAATTTTGCTTCTATCCAAATTTATAGCTTTGAGAAAAAGTCTTCGTTTTGAATATAACAAGCGTAAATGCCAATTTTATTTGGAAATATTATAAAATAAAATAGAAAAATTAGAAAAACATATTAAGCCTTCAAATCTTTATCAGTTATGGTTATTCTAAACTTTCCGACGTTATTATTCACCACACCTAATAGGCATTGATCTTTCTTAAGTTTGGATTTGATTGATTCAAACTCCTTCGGATTTTTCAGCTTGATAACTGAACCGGGTCCATTTCTATTGGCAATAAATGCAAATCGCTTTGATGTTGACAATTCCTGGATTCGAAAGCCCATAAAATGGTTGTCTGCAAAATGCAAAGACGACTTATACTTTACGCTAACATCAACATCTCCGATTCTCAATCTTGTTCCCAAAACACCCGACGTATGGATTAGCTGCACAAATTCCGCGTCACCTTTTTGAATATATTTACTTTGATCGAGCCATGGATGAAGTTCGGCAGGATCGTAGCCTGTATGAAATTGCGTACAACTTAAATTTCATAAATAGAGAATTAATAGTTACAATCTATTACCTATTAAAAGCGGGCATTTTTCTTGTATTTTTTCATTCATGTATCGACAAAAAAATGCTCCCGCATGACTGCCCAGACTAAAGCCATGCACATTAATCTGTGACATGTGTTCAATGCATTTCTTATTTTTCTTCTTTTTCTTATCAATTTTACATTGATTACGAATGTCCAAAACGAAATCGCCCACTTTGCGCGAAACAAATTCCAATCGTCTATTGAATAAAGCTTTTTTTATTAGAGATCTTAGTTTAACAATCGAACTGGTACTCTCAATTTTTCGCGAATGATAAATGCGGCAAATATTTGTGGCAGATACGTCACACCATCCTTGAAAAGAAAAACATATGAATTATTGTTTAGTTCGATGTGCACATCATGAAATGCTATTTATTACCACTGCAAAATTGGTAGCTCAGTCCTACGAAGAAAGAGTGTAAATCAGTTTAAAATTTTGTCATTTTCCATCCAAAATCTACCATTTGTTACGCTCAATTTATCACCAAATCCCATGAAGTAGAGTGAAAGATCTTTCCCATTGTCTAAAGCTTTTAGCAAATCTGACATACTGTCATTGTTATCACTTTGGTACAATGATATTTCAGGTTGTCTGCAAAATAAAATTCTCACAATTTGTGTATATCAGGCAAAGTGATTCGAATTACTTGTGATGAAAAATACAAGCGAACACTATTGGTGGGTTAAATTCGTCCAATTCGTCCAATGAAGGTGGACTCGGTTTTCCTGTTTGTAAAATTTAATATTTTAAATGTCAATCTATTGCAAATTTGTTCAATTTCTCACCACAGCCAAAGCCCACTGCATTACAACCGCTTAAAAGAGACACAAACGATAGTGCGATGAAATAAATTATCATTTTATATTCGACCAACTTTAAAATAAATGAACTTCGCTTCAATGGTTATTAAAATTGTTTACAATTTGCGAAACATATACGAACAGTGACTCGATCACAATGAAATTCACTTATTTATACAGACATTGAATGAAAAACATGGAAGGTTCGTAAAATATTCAAATATTACAGAGTAATTTTATAACTCAAATTATTATAAATTCAAATATCTATTTATGTAGATAAAGATGTTTTTCGGAGCGCTCATTTTTGAATTTGAAAATCCAATGCAAGAAAAAAAATTTGAACGCAGACAAAGAAATAAAATACTAAATAATTTAAGTCGATTGAACTCAACACAAACGTCGTTTCAAAGTGAAATTCATATATTCATTTATTTTATTTCATTAAATTTTCAACGCCACAAGTGTAAAAATTTGAGAATCGAATAACAAGCTCACATGTTTAGCAGTCAGTCAGATCACCATCTTTTATATTCTTCAATACTGTCCCAAAATTTGTTTGCCAGATTCGTTCCTTTTAAAGATATTCTGAACTTTTATCCTTTTTGGTCCGTCCTAAATGTTCCATATTCGCCAACCTGAACCTCATTGTTTTTTAGCCGGCGAAGTGGTTCGTCTGTTCCCACAATCATCGTTCCGTTTGGTTTGTGTTTTCCTTTTTCGTTTCCAATTTCTTCGGCAATCATATAAAGTCGTTTCGTTGATATTGCAGCATGCATATAAACGCCCAAATTATGTTTCTGAAATAATCCCGAAACTATTGGGCAATTTGTTTTTCGGCAATTTGTTTTTCAACACCAAAAACTGAAGTATGCAAAACTCTAGGCAAAACTTGAACGTAGTCAGCGTCTCCACTTTGAATGAAATGTGTTGATTTGTCTGAGAAAAATTTGGTTACCGTGGGGTCAAGACCTTGGAATTTATAATTATATACATTTTTCAATTAATAATATTCATTTATACAGTTTCATTTACTTACTCAATATTAAATTAACCTTTTCGTTCGTTTTTTTGTATATGTATTCACAGGCTCGTGAACCTACGTGCGCACCAAAACTGAAACCAACCACATGACTTTCGACATGTTTCGGAGACAGCCGCGCGTACCCGATTCAATACACTTATTTCGAATATTCCACACCAAATCACGTGCCTGTTTTGCCACGAAATCGATTCGTTTTGTGCTTATCATATCATTCAAATGCGATAAAATGTTGAAGATTGTTGTCGGATTTTCCGTAAAGGCATACGTTATAACGCAAATATTTTTGTTGGCCGCAAATGACCATGCTATGTTGGAATCTTGTTTGATTAGTTCGTTCTCCCACCGCTTCCATTTACAAAGCAAATCAAACGTATTTCAGTGAGGGGGTTGCATGCATGTTCTCATTCTTTGGTGCAGTCCTCGACTGTTTGACATTTTCTTATAACAATTTCGATCATTTTTTATCAGAAATAAAAATATTTTGCAATGTATTTGTATGACGATGTTTGAAAAGAAATTCTCCGTTTCAATATTATAAATTTTATTTATTTATTCTTTTGAATGAGTCGTCAAAATTCTTTCATTTTTCATACGTTCGATAATTGAATACATGTTTACTGCTGTTTACTTGATCACACCAGCATTTCTTTGCCACCAAGTTCACCAAGGGCGTCCCAAAAGACTGTAGTATCTTCTCTATCGACGATGGATATATTGAATTGTTTACCTTTATGATGCGCTTGCAATGTACCGTATATACCAATTTGACACTCTTGTGGTTTTAGTTCACGTGGTTGACGTTCACTTATCAATAGTATTCCGTTGCCTCTTACTTCGGCTATTATGAAAAGTCGTTTTGTTGAAGTTGCAATATGTAAGTAAACGCTTAGCGCGTGCTTTTCTGCCCAAGCACCGAGTAGAATCTTATTGGATGTGGAATCTACATAAATATCTACATCACCAACTGGCTGATCCAGTCCAAATGCTGAAAAACCACATATTATACTTATTAAATATTATAAATATTTTATTTTATTTACCTGACGTATGTATCACTTGAACATAATCAGCGTCGCCGCTCTTTATCATATGTCCTGGTTTGTTCCAGAAAAACGAAGTACCGGCAGGATCGAGAGCTTTTTGGGAATATTTTGAATAAGTGCACTGTTTTTTAAAACATTAAACATTACATGGGCATACCTAGCAATATTTTGACCTTTTCTCCAGTTTTCTCGAACAACAGTCCACATGTAAGTCCAGCGATATGCGCACCAAATGAGAAACCAACCACTTCTACCTGTGACATGTGTCTGAGGCACGAAGTTCTTCTGGAATCTTCACATTTCTTTTTGGTTTCCAATACCAAATCTTGTGCTTGTTTTGCCACAAAATCCAATCGTTTTGTACTTACCATTTGGTTTACATGGAATAAGATATTGAATAGTGTTGTCGATGTTGACGAATAAGCATATGTTATAATACAGATGTTTTTATCAGTTTTTGAAAACCATTCTGATCGGATGAAAAGGAATCAATGATGATGTTAGAGAGATATTTTTATTAAATGTTAAACAAATCTAATACAACAAAAAAATGTACCTTTGGCATATTTGAAAAAGATCCCATCAATAGTGATTGTATTTGCGATGCCGAGAAAGAAAAGTGAAAGCCCTCTTCCGTTATTAAGCTTAGAAGCTATTCGCTGAATGTACAGGTGGCTGTTCGTTGCATTGAATCTTTTCGCATAAAACTGGGGCTGTCTGTTGTTGAGGTGTATTGATAATAGATAAAGTTAATTGGCGCAATGTAACTAACCATGTTTATGGGAGGAAATGATCGACACCGTTTATTTCCCAAAAAATTTCGAGGGTTGCGAGTTCAATTAGTCTAGATATATTTTGGTGACGTTTGAAAGTCTTTTTTCAATCAAAATGTTATGTAAGGGGATTCCTTGGCATGAGAAAGCCAATTTTGCGATAAAATTATTTTCGATGCCGTTTTCAATGGCCAAAAATGTGGAATCAGAATGAGGTGAAATTTCATTCTCTGAGAAATAGTATTGCGAAAGTTCAAATTCATTAACACTAAATGATATTTTTTGGGAAAAAACGAAGTAGATCATTTCTTCTCATCAATCTGCATAAGTTCTTTGCCCAGCACCTAAGAAATGATCACTTCTTCTATTATCGATACGCCCAACTATACGTTGTTTGATATGCATTTTTCAGCATTCTTACCCTTCTTTGTATATACATGAAAATTTAATCGCGTCTCCCTCGTATTCAAAGTTTTTACTAGAAATTTTTTCGTCTGTTGCACAACGACCTTTTGATCATAACAATTATTATCATTAGCAATTAAATGACAGACAAACTTAATTTGTCATATATTACCACACATCATCGCAGCACATTCGTATAAAAACAATACCAAGAAAACTGTATAAAACCGAAATTTCATTTTTCTAAATAACGCTTCAACAAAATATGAAATTCCAATTATTTTATTTTTGTTAAAGTAACTTAGATCACTGATCGATTGTAAACTGAAGCCAGCATCCCCAAAACATCTTTTATTTAAGCCGAACAAAACCAATATTTAAAATTGCTGAATTTCGAGCACATTCATAGACACAAAACTTTAGACATAATTACAGATCTGTTTATTAAGTTCGTAAATAAATTATAATTTCTTTTATTTCTCGATATTTACGCCATGGAGTGTTATTTTTCACTTGTTTGATATGAAAAGAGAATATGAATTTTATTAATATTCTGCTGACGTCAATATTTTTATAAATTGTATTAATATTAATATTCAATGATGAACAGCAAAATAATCTGTATAAATAAAAATCTTCCAACGAACTAGACAATATCGAAATATTGACATACATATAATAAATTCTCTTTTAATTTGCTAATCAAATCGTTCTAGGTTGCCATATACATCAAGAGTGTCAAAGAAAAGTTTGATTTCTTTCTCTTGAACGAGCACCAGTTCAAATCTCTTCCCTTTTTGATGCTCACTCAATGTTCCGTATACACCAATCAGGCACTCAGAGGGCTTCAATTGACGAAGTGGTTCTCCGGTATTCACGACAACCGTTCCATTGCCATTTTCTTCGCCAATCAGGTGAAAACGTTTGGCAGAAGTTCCAAAATGCATATATAAGCCCAACTCATGTTTGTCCAGTCCCAATAGTGTCTTTGACTTGAATTTCAAATATATATCTACGTCGCCAACTTGACGCTCTATTCCAACTCCTAAAAACCGCATATTATGCTTATGAAATAATATATACTTTATTTAATTTACCTGACGTATGAACGATTTGGACGAAATCCGCATTATCACTCTTTGGATATTCCACTTTGTTCAAGAGAAATGAATTACCAGATGGATCTAATGCTAAACGGAATATACCACAAGAGTAAATGTTGAGTTTAAATAAAATACACAAATCCGACGTACCCAATAGCATTTTAACTTTCTCGTTCGTCTTTTGGAAGAGATAATCACAGGTTCGACTTGCGATATGCCCGCCAAAGCTATATCCACTAATTTCAACCTGTGACATGTGCTTTAAACAACTAACACTCGAGTGAGTGTCATTCAAACACTTTTCTCGAACATTTAAGACCAAATCACGTACTTGCTTTGCCACAAACTCTAATCGTTTTGTCTTTACCATTTTATTCAAACTTTGGACAACGTTGAACATTGATTTACAACTATTTAAATAAGCATACGTAATTATGCAAATGTTTTTGCCAGATTTTAAGAACCATTCTGATCAAGTCAAAAGAAAAAAAAATGATGAGAAATGAAAGAGAAATTCAATAATGAAATCGAATCCACACAAATTACCTTTGGCGTGCCAAAAGTAGAGACCTGAAAATAAAAATCAAGCTATCACAAAAGTTTTTTGCGGCAAGTGTAGGTACGATACTAACCATCTTTAGTAACACGATTTCCAATGCCATGGATAAACAATGATAAATCCCGTCCATTATTTAAAGCGTCATATAAAGTCGGCAATGCAGAATCATTATTGGATTTTATCAAATCAAACTTGCATTGACTGAACGAAAAAATGAATGTTTAATTATCATACGTACTTTTTATGCAAATTTATTTTACCCACTTTTCAGAGGTCACACATGCGAATGTAATTGGGTCACCAGTGTACAGCAAATTATCAATATCAAATTCGTCCGATGATGACTTTCCTCGCTTTAGCCATTTACTACCTATAAATTACAATCCCATGAAATTTTGAGACAATTTGAAACCCATTCGAAATATATTCTACCAAGCATCGCTGTGCATTCGTTCAAAAGTAATGCAAGAAAAAAACTGTTAAAAAGAATAACCATTTTCATTTTAATTGAACTAAATTGCGAAAAGAACCAGATATAAAAAGTTTACACAAATAAATTACGACTTATTAGGTGTACGACGTACGTCGACTGAAACTAGAGTCTTATTTGTGACATGTTTATAGAGAAAAAACAAGGAATGTAATTAAAAAATTTCATTTCGTCGTAAATTACACACGCATATGAAATTCTAATAATAACAATTTTATTGAAATGTACGACGTCAATCATTTTTGTTATTGACTTGTTTTCACGTGTACACAATTATAATGGGCGAGAAGGAGCTGTAGAAGAAAATTGAATTTATTTATTATATCTTGAGGACAGAGGTTCTGTATACCATGATTTTTAAACTCTTGATGGTTTGCTAAAATAAGATAAGACCAACAGTTTTTCATTGATGACAAAAATATATATTTATTTTTATTCAGTGGAGAAAGGAGAGGTTTTTTCTGCATGGAATTGTGTATATACTTTGAGTGTGCCCTTAGAAATATGGTTCTTTAAACACAGACTCACCGAGACAGTAGTTCAAAAGTATTGCTTTCATATTGGCTAATCAAATTGATCTAATTCAGCATATTCGCCAAGAGTGTCCCAAAAAAGTTTAACTTCTTCCCGATGAACGAGGGACATTTCAAATCTCTTCCCTTTTTGATGCTCATTCAATGTTCCATATATACCAATCAGGCATTCAGAAGGCTTCAATTGACGAAGTGGCTGACCATTATTAACGACAATCGTTCCGTTACCATTTTCTTCGCCAATTAGATAAAATCGTTTGGTAGACGTTCCAAAATGCATATATAAACCTAAATCATAATAAAAAAGTATTAAAATCAGTGTATGCACAAATGCACATACCGAAAATCATTTTAACATTAACATTGACAATATGCGTTTAATAAAACAAGTTACGGACGATAGACGGCTTGATCCTTATGAATCGTATTATATCAAAAAAGTCAATAACAATTTAAATCAAGATGAAGGGAACGTAGAATCATGCATTCTCTCACTCATTTGCAATGTTTAAATGAAATGTGAATAGTAGTGTGCGTTTTTATGTTACTGTGTATTGAAACCGTTATCTATTCTAATGTTTATTGAGTGAATTTTTTGGACTTTTGGTTCATGCGATGCGCACTTCACTTTTAGTCGTGTAGCTGATGATGGGTTGTGTACAACTCGAAATCCATTCAAGGTTGGTTTAATTTTAAACATTTTGTGAAATCATTAAGGTGAATTTTATAAAAAACTATTATATTTTATACCTAAATCATGTTTTTCAAATACGCCCCACAATGCCTTCGACTTATAAGTCAAGTATATATCTACGTCTCCGACTTGCCGCGTGATGCCTACACCTGACGTATGAATGACCTGAACATAATTAGCATCGCCCCTCTTAGGATACGTTACTTTGTTCAAGAGAAATGAATTACCAGATGGATCCAAAGCTAGACGAAATATACCACAAGGGTAAATGTTGAGTTTAAATAAAATACACAAATCTGTCGTACCCAATAGCATTTTAACTTTCTCGTTCGTCTTTTGGAAGAGATAATCACAGGTTCGACTTGCGATATGCCCGCCAAAGCTATATCCACTAATTTCAACCTGTGACATGTGCTTTAAACAACTTGCACTCGAGAGAGGGTCATTTAAGCATCTTTCTCGAACATTTAACACAAAGTCACGCGCCTGCTTTGCCACGAACTCTAATCGTCTAGTCTTCACCATTTTGTTTAAATGAGACACAATGTTGTATATTGACACAGAATCCTTCAAAAATGCATAGGTTATTATGCAAATGTTTTTGTCGGACCGAGAGAACCATTCTGGTCAGATGAAAAGAAAGCATGGTTTTGAGATGGATCAATCAAAAATTCGAATTAAATCAAAAGAAAAATTACCTTTGGTTTGTCTAAAATAAAGACCTTATGGAAAAAATAATAAAAGTTTTTTAAAGCATTTTTATGGGTGAGTGTGGCACCGATACTAACCATCTTTACTGACAGTATTTCCAATTCCGTGAAAGAACAACGATAGACCTCTGCCGTTATTTAAAAGATTATGTAAAACGGGCAGGAGAGAATTATTTGATCGGACTATGTCAAACTGGAATTGACTTTGAGATATACATGGCTATGAATAATATGTAGTTTTGTTGAAAGCGGTAATTTCTCACTCTTTTGAGCTGATACAGGCAAATGTAATCGGGTCACCATTATATACAAAATCATCAATATCGAATACTTCCCCTGATGTTTGCCCTCCGTTAAAGCAACTACCACCTACAATTTTATGAAACATTAACACAAAATGGAACCCATTTCAAATAACTAAAAATACATACCACCAAGAATTCGACTAAGCATCGCTGCGCAGTCGCTTAAAAGCAACGCAAGAAGAATAGTGTAAAAATAAATAAACATTTTTATTGAACGAATTGATAAATCACCAAAAACCCGAATAACAAAAATATAAATTCAACCAAGTAGATAGCAACTTATGAAAGTAACGACGTGTGTTTGACGCTTATCTTTGTATACTTATTTATTCAGTTAATACAAGGAATGTTAAAAAAATAATAATTCATGCGCATTTTTAATTATTAAACTCATAATCGTGTTTATTTGCTTTTGAATTTGAGCAATGCACAGAGGAAAAATAATCGTCAAATATTCACTGACTTATTTGAATTACACGAGCTAACGCTTTCATTTATTGATAAAAAAAGGTTAATCCACAATTTTTCATTTATTCGAATGATATTTATTGTCAGGCTTTCCTTTCATATTGAAATATAAAAATGCAATGACAATACGACACATGTCAATCAACCAAAATATTTCACATTCACAAGGCCACTAAGATTGTCCCAAAAAAGCTTCGTTTTATCGACTAGATTCAGCTCAAATGTTTTTTCCTTCTTTCGCTGATTGAATGTTCCATACACACCCAGTAAGACCTCATTGGATTTCAATGGACGAAGTTTTTGTCCAACATTGGCAATCATAGTTCCATTTCCATTTTCTTCGGCTATGAGATAGAGTCGTTTTGTTGCAGTTGCGATGTGTAGAAACACACTCAAGCCATGCTTTTTCAATAAATTCAACAAAATCGTATCAAATTTATAATGTACATAGATGTCTACGTCGCCAATTTTTTTAGATGTCCCAAAATTATTTGAGGTGTGCAAAACTTGCGTGTACTCGGCATCGCCCCTCTTAAAATGTGGCGAGTTGTCCAAGAAAATGGTAGTTCTCGGAGGATCAAGTCCTGTTGATTGATTATTCGAATTCAAAAAAATGATGTAATAGTTTGATGATATGTATCAATTTTAGTTCTTGCACACATACCCAATAAAGTTTTAACTCTTTCTTTTGTCTTTTCATAGAGAAATTCACAGGTGCGGCTACCTATGTAAGAACCAAAGCTAAATCCAATAACATCCACTTGTGACATACTTTTAAGACAATCACTTTTCCCAGATTCGACACACTTTTCGCGAACATTCAACACCAAATCACGAGCTTGCTTCGCTACAAAGTCCAACCGTTTTGTCCTCACCATTTTGTTCACGTCTTCATTCGAAATAAAGCCAATTAAATTGAATTGTCATAGTGGAGATGTACAAATACACACATACCAATCAAAAGGGTGAGCAGTGTTGTAGGTTTTGCATATACATACGTTATGATGCAGATATTTTTATCGGACACAGAAAACCATTCTAGTAGAAGATGAAATTGGTTTTATTTTCACATTTTTAATATGATTTACTGCTTACCTTTCACAGCATTAAAAAAATAGCCTTAAAGAAAAATATTTATTTATGTATCGTTTGCTCATATTTGAGAGTAAAATGGAAATGAAAATACCGTCGATGGAAACTTTGTTTCCGATTCCGTGAAAAAATAGGGAAATGCCCCTTCCGTTATCCAATTTTGCTGCCAATTCCATCATGTCATCTTCGTCAGATTTATACACATCAAAACCGAGTTGCCTTGGATCAAAACAAAGGAAAATAAGCCGGATTCGAATAATAAACATGTACAAATATACATACTGGTCTTCATGTATGCAGCTAAATTTAATTGGGTCTCCCGCGTATTTAAAATCATCGATATTAAAGCATTCTTCTCTGCTGTCTTTGTTAGAACAACATGACATGTAACCGTACATTTTTGATAACGGATTACGTGCAATGCACAAAGCCGCTGCCACATAGTCGCACAAGAATAATGTTAACACAACAGCGTAAAAGTGAAAGATCATTTTTTGCTCGTTATTGTTTTTATTTCTTTAACAACACAAATATATGAATGGTTTCGAAGGCAACCTACAACTTTTCAATATTTATATAAAAACAATGAAAATTAATTTATTATTCAAGTTTTTTTTACATTATGGAACAAAATGCGATCGGATTGTAAGGTATGGAAACGGTAGATGTAAATGAAATTGTTTAATTCAAACTGAAATTCAGAACAAAATATTAAGGAAAATGTTTAATACATAAAATGTATATTATCATAAAGAATTATTTATTTGTAACCGGAATATTTTATTTATTTTTTATTTATTTATTCACCGTCTGATCACAGACTGATTTTATCACAATTATTTACAATATCATTTGCAATGAAACACTACCCGAATCGAATGCCAGCCGCCAATCTTTTCGACTTCGGAGCAGCAGATATCGACTGTGTCCATTGTATATTACTATTCATAACACAATTTTTCTTAGTTTATTTTACCGAATATTAAATAACAAATTGTCCAATTCAACAATACTATTTCTAAAAATGTGTCTCGATGCCGATTCCAAAAATGTTTCTCTTATTAAATTAAAATTCCTACACGCCATGTAAAATGGTTGACTATGTGCATATTCAGCTGTAAACATCCGTACTCTAATAAGTTCTGTATTCCTCAAATTTCTTTGGTTTACGTTATATTGCTGTCTTGTGTATACAATCTTATCCCTAAGCGAACGCGACACTATTCTACCTAATAAGAGATCGTAAATTAAAAATATAGAGGCATTAATACGCCGTCTCCAAAGCGGTTGAATACTTAAAACATCACATCTAAACTGATACGGTGGCAATACAAAATTCTCATCTCTTTGGTAAACAAATCTTAATGTCCATATCACAAATTTTTTCTGAATTGACTCTATTCTATCGGAGTGTATACGGTGGTATGGTTGCCAAACTATACTCGCGTACTCTAACTTTGATCTGACTAGCGCAAAATATAACATTTTAGCCGATTCAATCGTGAACTTATTCTTTAATGTGCGTTTTACGAATCCTATTGCCCCAAGTGCACTGGCTGTGATCGCATCGATGTGATTGATGAACGTTAGTCTTGTGTCGAAAATAACGCCGAGATCCTTGTGCAAACTGATTCGTTCAAACGTATGTTGGCCGTTGTTGATCGTATAATCGTAGTCGATTGCGTATCCACCCTTTGCATACGTCATCACGAAGCATTTCCTCAGATTCAAATTTAGGCTGATTTCAGTGCACCAGTCGTTCAACTGATCAATGGCTCTTTGGAAAATAATGGCATCAATGGGCGATTGTATTGTTCGTATCAGTTTTAGATCGTCTGCGAATAATAAAACAAGTGCATTTGTTACGGTTTCGACAATGTCATTAATAAAAATAATAAAAAGACATGGTCCCAAGATACTTCCCGCAGGTACTCCCGATGACACAGTGAAAGTTCTTGACTTTCTCTCCCCGATTCCAACAAATTGTGTTCGCGCTGTCAAATATCCATGGAACCATTTGACAAGTCGTCGGCCGAATCCAAAGTTCACCAACTTCTGCAACAATTTCTTGTGGTTCACACGGTCGAAGGCCTTCTCAAAATCTGTGTACAGCACATCCGTTTGACACCTTTTGATCATTGAGTCCATCGTGAAATTTACCATTTGCAGTAAATTTGTTGAGGTTGATCGATTTTTCACGAATCCATGTTGATTGTGGCTGATTTTCGCATTAACAAATGTGTCGATTTTGTTATACACAACAATTTCGAATAATTTGGCTATTGTTGGTATTATCACGATCGGCCGATAATTCGATGCACTGCTTTTCTTTCCAGACTTGAATATTGGCACAATTCTGGAATTTTTCAATGCTGTCGGAACACATCCTTGATGCAACGACTTACGAAATAGCATTGATAACGGCTTTGACAAAGTATGCGCACAATTTTTCAGTAGTTTTGGTGAAATACCATCTGGGCCGGCTCCTTTGTTTACATTGATCGCTTGTAGTGCTTTCATCACGTCTACTTCATTGATGTCAATGTCAAACGATATGTCACCGCATTCACTCAGCAATTGATCCAAGTCGATATTGTCGCTCTGTGTATACTGATTTTCGAAAAAATCAGCAAATAATTCCGCTTTTGATACGTCTGTGCTCGCAGTCTCATTGTTGTATTCAACAAAAGGCGGAATGTCACTTCTCTTTCTTCTGTCGTTTACAAATCGCCAAAAATGTTTTGGATTTGCTCTGATTTGCAATTGAATGCGGCTGATGTACGACTTGAACAACTGGCTTTGTAACTGCATGAACGAATCTGTGATGGCATTGTATTCGTCAAAGTTACCAGTTTCTCTTGCTTTTTTATACGCCTTTCTTCTGACATTTTTCATGTGTTTCAAGTGCTTTGTATACCACGGTGGATCAGTGCTCTTTTGTACGGTGATTTTTGGAACAAATGAGTCTATTGCCTCGTGTAGAACATTGCCAAATAATTGGAATGCATTCTCGAGGTCATCAATTCGATTTATCCCCAACAAAATGTCACTTACAATGAAGAATTCATTCATCGCATCGAAATCCGCCGAATTGTATGCGTATATTTCCGATGATTGCGGTGATTTGGGTTCGTTTTCATCAATTGTCACTTCGATTTCAATTGCTTTGTGCCAAATGTCGGATTTAACCAATGGTCTTGTTGATTCAATCAACGCCATTTCGTAGAACTTGTTTGTAAATACAAGATCCAAAACATTCCCGGCTGGATTAACGATATTTGACAGCTGGTGGAACCCACAGTCGAACATTGTGTCAAAAACAGCAATGCCGCCCTCTGTCGACACATTGATTGGCAAATAATAATCACCATCATCGGCTTTGATCCATTTGACACCGGGCTGGTTAAAATCACCGCACACAATAACGATGTCATTTTCATTGTATGGGACCAGTTTCACAATCTCAGCGAATTCCAAGAATTTTTCAGTTTCGTGCACCGACCGAATGTACACTGCAAACACATAGACATTACACGAGTCGAACGAAATTTTTACACACACGTGCTCAAGGCCGCTGCGCTCTGATAGAATCAGCTTTTCACTGTTGAATTTGCATTCAACCGCGATCAGCACTCCTCCACCGTCGGTTCTATCACTTGTGAGTTCCGTCCGATCGCCACGATACACATTGTAGCGTTTGCCGAAATGCTCAATATCTGTAATGCTTTTTAATAACCACGTTTCGAAGAAAGAAATTATATTAAATGGACACGATTTTGTTGCTAATCGAATCTCATCGACTTTGTCTCGAATGGAATGTGTATTCTGTATGTACACATTCAGTTTTGTGTGCTTCGAGACTATTTCTGGGGAGTTCTGTGTTTGTTTTCGATGCGGTGTCAATTTACTTACGGTGGTGTTCGTTTTGTTTTGTTCGATGATGTTGCCTGTTTGTTCGACGATTCGGTGACTTTGCTCGGTGGTGATACGGTCAAATCCATTGAATCTAGTGTCGGTGTTTTGCGGATGTTTTTCGAATCCAATGCCGGGAAAAAATCACCTAATGTTTTGTTCTGAAGGAACTCACGAACAAGAACATCTTCTTCCCACACTTCCGGATCCATCAAACTGTCAAAATCACTTTCATTCACTTCGATTTTGAATGACACAAACTTCAATGTGGTCAAATCTTTGTCCTTCTTCACGAGTTTGTGTACTTTGAATTTCGATTTTTCCTTAACCGATGTTTCGGACACAATATATTCAATAATTTCATCGGTTGTGGTAATTGGGTCGAACCCAGAAACCCAAATTGCCTTGTTGAATATTGGTTTTTCACTTCGTTGTGGTTTTACCACAACATGCAGCCGATTCGAAGCTAATTTTTTTCCCATTTTGGGCGTCGGTGCATCGAATTTCACATTATTTTTTGGCGGTGCAAAAGATTTCGGTGAATCTTCGAGACGTTGACGTTTGGCGGAATGAATCGGATTATTTTTAATTACACCGGCATAAGAATTGCGTGAAAATTGTGTCTTCGGTGTTTGTGGCGGTAATTTCGAGTTTTTCAATGGTTTCGGTGTGTTCGGTACATTTTCATTTGGGTTCAAAAGAGCCGGTCGGAGCACTTTACCCACTATCACTTTTGTTGAGTTGTCAATGCCGGTTGTTTTTGTATCGATAGCGTCCAATTTTTTCGAATTTTCTTCAATCACGGTACGGAGCAATTTAACTTCGGTCATAATGTGACGAATAGACATTTTATCCGATTTCGGTGTTGATTTTGTTCCAAATGACGCGTTCAAATCGTTCGATTGTGTACCGTTTGACGTTTCATTGACGCACACATTGCAATAAATTCGGATGTTTGGCGATAAAATCTGTTTCACTTTTACGTTAATTCCAATGCACGGGAGATGAACACAGCCATTGCAATTGGAACATTTTGTGGTCTGGTCGGCTAAAACGTTATTCGGTGGACATTTGTCCCTCGAACAATGATTATTTGTTGTCATTCCGTTGCTTAAAAAAAGTCACTGTTTATACACAGAACAACAACAACACTACAGTGCAACAATGTTCAATTTTTCAATCACAATAAACTTATCGAATACACAAGAAAATAACTAAACTTCATGTAATTCTAACAGAAAATACCGTGATGTCGTGAAATATATATATTTAGTCAATTAAAATAACATTTAAATAAAAAATAAATACAATAATACACAGAGCTAAATAATAGTCGGTTTTCGCTTTTGACAGCTAAACGTCAGTATATAATAGATTATATAATTTGATTTCGCATTTCGATAATTCACCAAAAGTTCATGTGAACCAAGCTTACATATTGATATGGAAAAATTATAAAATTACCCACATTTCAATCGGTAAAAACTCCAAATAATGAAATATGGATGAAATATTTTAAAATTATTTGTCGTCCCTTGTTTCTAGCCTAATTGCTTCTAAAGTTTTGCAATCATCCCATTGTATTGATATCTCATATCTTTTGCCAGCTTCATCACCGATCGATACATTTTTATTGTAAACACCGATAATACACTCATTTCTACCTACGACAATATTTTGATGGGGATTGTGCTGCAGATTAACTATTCTTCCCTTGCCCTTTTCCGCTGCGATGAAAATAGCCTTTTTTGCCGATATAATTTCGTGCAACTACTTCTGCCTACGCAGATAAACGATGATTATTTTGCAGATTCAATACTCCACAATTATGTTTCAACGTAATATCACTGTCTGAATACATCCTATGTGATCCAACAAATCGTGATGAGTGAACACATTGAACATATAAAGCATCGCCCTTTTGTATGTACTGTTTTGTGTCCATCCATTTAGACACAGCTGCTGAGTCAAGGCCTATTTCAAATGACTGATGCTTAGTTATTAAGTTGAATACAATTTTTTTTTTTAAATTTTCAAAATACCAATTAATTTTCCAACTTTTTTGCCAGTTCTTCGAAACAAACAACGGCATAGCATTGCTCCGATATGAACGCCCAAACTAAACCCGGCTACGACGATATCTGATACATTTCTTAAAGAATTGTAACCGTTTTCTTCATATTTTTCTCTCAAATTCGTAATGAAATCGCATGCGTGTTTGGCTGTAAACCTAAACGTTTTGTTTTTACCATTTCTCTTAAATGAAGTATCAAATTAGATGGTGTTGTCATTTTTTTACAAAAATGATATCCAATGTAGCATATATTCGTTCCAGATGCATCAAACCAACCTTTTGTTACCGAATATTATTTAATTATGATTTGGAATAAAATAAGTATGTAACTATTACCTTTGCCATCCAATCTTTCAGCTAAAACAAATGATTTTTTGTTAATTTTCATTCAAATTATGAGCAAAATTTTTTTACTTACTATCCAAATAATCACATACTATTGCCCCAATTCCAGTAAAGTAAAGCGAAATTTTTCTGTCAGAAGATGCCAGGGCATGAATTAGGGCATTCATTTCAGTTTCATTATCGTGCGTTGCCATTAGGTATTGACGTGTGCTGTACAAATAAAAAACAAAAATACAATATAATTAATATAAAAATACGAATTTGGAAGTAAAATTACGTAAATATACCTCCTGAAAATGCAAGCAAACGTGATGGGGTCACCATTTGTTTCGATATTTGTTTCGTTAATTTCAACATCCATTCCACGGGGCCCTGAAAAATAAGATTTTTCAAATAACAATGATGCATAAGAATGATTTGTTTTCTGAAATAAAGTTGCCTTTTGTGCTACAGCAAGTTGGAAGCATTGCAATCGAAGTACTGATAAATGTAGCAACAACAATAATTAGGTTGAAAAGTGCAAACATTTTGTGTATTCGCAGTTCTGAAGATTTTTCAAATTGTGAATATTCAAAAGAGACTTCACTTTATAAGCACCAAAATAAGTTTTTTCTTATTGTACAAAGTAAACATTACCATGATAATATACACTTGGATTTATAAAATTGCCAAATGTTAATAATATTTCTTGGCGCCGAATTCCAAATAAATAATAACGACTCCGTTTCAACACAAAATTCCAATTTAAGGGGCTGACTCAATATTCTTTTTGTTTCAGAATTATTTGTTTATTACAGGGATTGACACGCAGAGAAACATGAGAAGAAGGACTGAAGAGGAGGCAATGGAGGTGGAGTAGAGCGCTGTAGGGGAGATCCTCCTCCTGAAGACGAATTTTTTTTATTGAAAAAAATATTTTTTGGTTTAAAACGTTTTCCTCCTCAATTGAGAAGAAGGATCCTTCAAAGCGCTCTCCTCATTTGCTTTCTCATCATTTCTCCTGACCAGAGGAACAATCCCTGTTTTATTCTTTTTTCATGTCTTTGGCAATAAGCATGGAATAAAAAATATGATGATTTCAAATTATCTCCAAATTTTCTTAGCTCGCCGGCTGAAATCATCAATTACTTAACCCTCAACCGGGCAGGTCGAAATCCTAAAGTTATCAGGCAAGTGGGGCCTCTGAGGCCCGATGTAAATTTTCCATGCAAATTCAATGGAATTTTTTTTTTCTTTTTTTGAATTTCATTGAATTTATACGACGAAAATTATTGTTTTAACACAATAGATATTGGATTAAATATGTTTTTTGTAAAATATAACTGAAAAAATGAAAAAATAATCAATATTTATTCCGAATCGGATGAATTTAAGTTTCAGTTCAGTAGTTGTTAAGTACAAATTTTGCACTTCATTTTAAAAAAATTGATGACATTTTGTATGGAAAATGTACGTCCGGTAGTTGTTTAAACCTCAATACAGCGCTACTTAGGGAACCAAATTCAAAACAACTTTTATCAACGATTAGTAGAAGGATGAAAGAATATATTACAAAACAATTTGTTTGATTAAAATAATATTTTATGCGATTTTATGTATCAGACAACATTTTAGTTATTTTATCTGTTTGTATTTATTTCAATTTAATAATAATTATCATATTAGTTGAAAAAAAGCAACGATTCATTTTGACGTGGCTAAATTCATGGCATAAAAACGTAGTGCAAGAATATATAATAGTTCGACCACTGAAACGAGCTTATACACTGCATTGTATACAAAACAGCTAGATGTATAATGCGGATATAAGCTAAGCAAAAATGAACCGTTGTAAAAAAAAACACTCTTCATATTAACTGGCTGTTAATTATAGCAGCCACTCTCATCTGATCGATCATTGACACCCAGTGTATCACACACAATCTGGTATAAATCCCATCTATTTCGGCTCTGTTCAACGTTGTTGCCAGTGCACTCAACTGGTGAATTAATCGCCCTCGTTGTAGCACCTATGGATATCAAGTATATTCATTATTTAATTATGCTTCGAAACATTAAAAATAAAGCATCACATTTTTCTTCATCATATTTTATTACCGAAATGCTTTTCTTTCACCCCGGGATAATTAGCCACTCTTGTTTGCCAATACCATATTGACACATCAGCACCGACATTCGGATCTTGGGCCACTATTTCCGGATAGTAGTAAAAATCATCTCCCCTGCCCAATGCCTAGCATTTTATTTCATTTCAAAAATTCATTTTATTTACTAAATATTTGATACAAAATAAAAAAAAATAACCTGGGATGCAGCTCTGTAGTTGTCTGGCCAGGATAGCTGTATAAATCCACGGCCGTGATAATTTTTCCCCTCTGCTCCAGTACCATACATCCCTTCACAACTGTTTTGTTGCGAGCATTGTATTTCCTCAATATACTGATACCCACCAGACTCGTGGCCGCACTGAGCTATAAACTCGGCCGCTTCATTTGGATCCTGGAATGCTCCATTTACTTTGGGTACAACGGCATTAAGATAATCCCAATTCGGCGTGTATCCATGTTTGCTCATTGCTTAAAAATTAAAAAAAATGAAATTTTGTATTGATCTCAAAGAATGGTCAACATGCTACATTCTGCATTGCAAATTCAATGGCAAACTAACCTTCATTTACTTGTTCGACTGTAAAGTCCACCGCCCCTCCTCCAGTGATTGCCAATAAAACAATCGATGCGACAACGAAGATCTTCATTTTCGTGTTACAAAATTAATATTTCGTAAAGTGATTTGAATTTGTTTAAATTTATTGTTTTCAATGAACTCACTAATTTGATTATTTGCATGAAGTTTAGTCCTTTATATATATACAATTTTTGCGTTCAGCCGTGACGCAATTAAAAATGCGTATTTTATTTTTCCAATTACGCGCATGAAAAAAATAAATATTGACATAGAACTAAATCGAATGTAATTGATGCAATTATGCACATTGTGAATACTTTCATGAATGATTGAGTTTTACCAAGACATTTTGAATGCGTAGTTGTAATTAAATGTTCGTCAATTTGTATCGAATAGTCAAGTCGTTGTTCCATTTCTTTTACTTTAAACGAAAACAACAAATAAATAACTTTTGCACAACCGCAAAATTTCCATTCGCATGACGAATTGTTTTGATATTATTGTGGATGACGCAATTCTCAATATCGCAAAATCAATAAATTCATGCCCGAATGTTGCACTCTGGTTTCAATTAGTGAAAAACACTTGGAATAATAATTTTGTTTTACAATACTTAAAACTTGAGTAAATAAACAGTAAACATCTGTCGAGCTTTTCATTTCCGATTGCACCACATTTACTTAGTTTTTATTGTGAATATGCTTTTCAAGAGAAACATTTGTTTGCCATTAAAATACTGGTTAGCCTACTGTTTCCAGTCGTATTTTCTCTAAAGTTTTACAATCGTCCCAATGTATGGATATTTCATATCTTTTTCCAGCTTCATTACAAACCGATGCATTTTTATTGTAAACACCAACAACACACTCATCACTAGCCAAATTGACATTTGGATAGTGATCGTTTTCAAGTTTGATAACTCTTCCATGACCTTTTTCAACGGCGACAAAAATCGCTTTCTTCGCCGATATAATTCCGTGTAAGAAGGCAGACAAACGATGATTGTTTTCAAAATACCAGCGTGGACAATTGTGGTACACATTTATGTTACTATCTGTAATAAACAAAATATGACAGAGATTGACCTATGGCGAGAGATGACATCGGATAAAAAATTCTACCTGCAATTTGTCTACGCGTTCCAACTAATACAGATGAATGTATCGTCTGCACGTAAAATGCGTCTCCTTTTTGAATATATTTAGATGAGTCCATTAGAGCGCCGCAGGATGCTGGATCCAAACCTGTTTTAAATGATTGTTTGAAAGAGTTTTTGTATATTGACGCTGCTTTAATTGGCATCGAAGTTTCTAATGCGATAACTGTCGTTGCATAAAACGAAATTAAATTTCGCATCCTTCAATCTGTGTTAAGTTCGAAACAAACGAATATGACATCAAAATGGGAGTGAAGTGATCGTTTCAAATACGATAAAACTGTGACTTTTTTGAAGTACTTTCTCACAGCTTTTATTCAGACCATATACTGAGCATAGATATTTATCCGAGATGTTTTGTGAGTATCCGATAATTAATGCAACACTTCATGCATTATTGCTCCTTCTAAACAAACTGTGTACAAGACTTGAATCGACGTGTTTGACTTAAACTTAATTCGTTTGAAGGAGTAATAATGCCGAGTGTCACTTACGTTCTATAGTGACAATGTATTTGAACGCGACTCGATTTAAGAAGCGCCATCTCTATCTCGCCAGGAGCTCATATATTTTTTTCTTGCAAACAAAATTTTAAAATTGCATAAATTGAATAAGTTTTGCAATAGTAATAACGAAAATAATTAATAGAATTTATTATAAATAAAAAAAAATGAAAAAACACACAAATATTTTATATTATATGGTTCTCGTGTTATGAGGTAGCTTTGCCTTGTAGACCATGTAGAGATGGTTACGTGGAGAAAATATGTATTTGTCAAACATTGATATCTGTCAAAAGAAACAACGTAAACAACACGAAGTGAAGCTATTCTGGTGAATCATATAATATAAAATATTTGAGTGTTTTTTTCAAATTTTACTTTTCCGCACACATAGTGTAAGGTGAAAAGTATTGTAATCGGTCAAAATTTTGAAAACTTCAGAAACATGTTTTCTGGACGTTTCTGAGGTCAGCGAACCCGAATCAGGCCGTTTTGAGCATGGTTTATGTTAATCTGTACGTCGTACGTCGTACGTCGTACGTCGTACGTCGTACGTCGTACGTTGTACGTCGTACGCAAAATTTGTTAGCAAGATTGCGCTCATCGTAGAAACTTAATTCAAAATCTGACTTTACAGGATGATTGGGGGTCCCGAGGAATAGAAATCATTAGCTTTTGAGCGACTTTGGTTGATGGGAAAAAATGTCATGCCTGGAGTGATACCTATGAAAAAGAGTCCAATTTTCGTCCAAAAGTCATACTTAATGT